CCTTCTCTCCTTTCTCCCTTCCCTCTCCTCTCTCCCTTTCTCTCCTACTCTCCCCTTCCTCTCCTACTCTCCCCTTCCCTCTCTCCTTCTCTCTCTCTCTCTCTCTCTCTCTCTCTCTCTTCTCTCTCTCTCTCTCTCTCTCTCTCTCTCTCTCTCTCTCTCTCTCTCTCTCTCTCTCTCTCTCTCTCTCTCTCTCTCTCTCTCTCTTCTCTCTCTCTCTCTCTCTCTCTCTCTCTCTCTCTCTCTCGTCCCCCCCATTCCCATCCCCATCCCTCTCTCCCTCCCTCCCCTGTCCTCCCTTCCTCCTCCCTTCCAACCTTTTTCCTTCCTTCTTATCTGTCATATATTTTTTTATCCAAGTACAAAGACATTATTCATAGACAATCATTCTTTGTGTATGTACAACTGTGGAAAGGAGTTTCTGTACCCTCTCGGAAACCAACCCTCTGTGTGTGTGTGTGTGTGTGTGTAAGTGAGTGAGTGAGTGAGTGAGTGATTGCATTTCTCTCTCACAGATTTAGTATTTCAGAAATAATTTGGCATTCACTTGGCAAAAATTTCTTTAGTAATTGGATGACTATAACTAACATTATAATGGAAAATACTATATTTATACTGCTTTTCACTCACTGCATATTGGGTGAAACCTAAGATATAAGTATAGCATTTTATTCACACATCAGTATTATCACATTCAACTGATGTATTTTCAAGGGGTGAGAAAGGGAGGGAGGAAGAGAGAGAGAGAGAGTATTTGCTGGAGAATCATTGACCATTCCAGTGAATGTCAGAGAGATAGAGAAAGAATTTGCAAGAAAAGTATGTTTTTACTGTGTCTTTCTACCAATCACATTTGTTGGAAACCATTTATTTGTATATGTTATTTTTACAAAGAGGATGATGTTGCCACTTGGGATACCTTCATAAGGGTTACAGAAGTTAATATCTGCAACCATACCATCCTTTACAATGAAAGCATCATCCTTCTTGCCAACAGGACTCTACAACACATACGAGCGTCTGTTGCCTATAGATATAGCTTCATCATCAAGGATATGGCCAGTATTGCAGGACCTTGAACATGGGCCAGGTGCTATGTCTGTCTTTGTAGGCCTGGATTGCTCTGCTGAAGAACTTGATATCTTACACAAAAAGAATGCTTGGGTGTTCACCGGCAATGATTTAGATAAGGTACTGGCTTGCTCTTTACATATATATTGTGTTTGTAATTTTGGAATTTTACTGAGACTGTATGACCAAAGTTTCACTTTTTTTTTTTACAAAGTTGAAAATTACTTTTGAGAGTTTTGTGTGACTTTTTTTACTTCTACAAAGGTAAATAATTGGTAAAGTTGCTGTATTATGTACCTTTAAATTGGATAGCAATTAAGCTTTACTAATATTTGATAATGATACTATAATTACAGCTCACCCTGAACTATTTAAATCTCACTCGGGAACAAGCAATGGATGTTGACATACCTCTTCTGTTCATCTCCTTCCCTTCAACTAAGGACCCAGAATGGGATAAAAAGTACAAAGGTAAAGTCTGTTGCAAGATCTGACATTTTTCTAAAGAACCATTTGTGTTTTGCCTTTAAAGGTATCTTATTTCAGGCTGTATTTGAAATAGTTCCAGAGACTCATTCTTGTACATTTGTATGATGTATTCCTCTGTTTAATTGACAGCAAAAGGATTATTTCCAAGTGGTCTGATCAGGAAAGAAGTGAAACACTTTCAATCAGTAATCAAAAGAATTAAGTTTTTTTATGATTAACCTCATGATTGGTTGTAACTGCATTTTTTACATTTCATTTGAGCTGGCCGAATAGAGCTCAGCCTCTCAGAAACTTGTGGTCTGTCTTCCTGCTTGTTTTTAACTGGGAAGGGGAGGTAATTCTGGTACTATTTGGCAAGTTCCAGCAAGCCCCTCCAGCAAGCCACCCCATTCCCTCATCTCTTTGTACCTATTCATCCCTGTGAGCCTCTTAGTATCTCTTGTGACAAATAGAGGATTGTAATAAGTAAAGTAAGAATTCTTGCAATGTATAGCTGAAACACCCCCATAAATACTTTCATTCTTCCATACCTCTTGTGGTGTCAGGCTTTCAGCAGCATTTCCTGTTAGCATGATGACTAGAGGGAGAGGAAGATGACAACTACTTGCTATCAGTTAGGGCATGCCTCATGCCTTTATTTTAGTGTCATTGTGAGTAACCGCTAGCGTTGCTCAGCAGTAAAGGTTACCTGATTGGTTTGAGTAGGTGTGACCCAGAGGAATGCTGTCAGCTTTTGCCTGTAACTTACTCCCAAGGGCAAATTTAGTTTTTCTTATTATTATTATTCTTTTTCTTACCATAAATGTTCCAAAAAGAAGATGTAAAGAAAGCAATAGCCAAAGTGCAAACAGAAATTAGTAGACAGAAGTAAAATGAATACAAAATTGTATGCAATAAAATGTATTATTGATTGACAAGTTGAAAAAAAACAGGTCATACA